AATGGCCTTATTCGAGGATTTATGATCGCTCATGACCACGCAAATGTGAAACTAGGCCCATTCGTTAGCCCTGACGGTCGTCCCGTTTCCTCCCAGCGTCACCGGGGAAGGGAGAAGTGGCGGTGACCACTAACTCATCGATACTTACAGTCACCGGAGACGACTGGTGGTTGTCGAGGCCAACACAAATAATAACCCTAAGTATTACACACTAAAATAGTGTATAGTGGTAAAGGGATCGAATCCACGGAGATTGGTTCAATTTGATAACTCTATGAAAAATCTCTTTGTAAAAATACTTGTGAAATAACAATAAAAATAAAATGGGGGGGGGGGGTTGGTGTTTTGAAATACACTTGAAACGAACTAGAGTTAACTATGATTTAAATAGACAAATGCAACAAAAATAAGAGTTTGATGTAAAATCAATAAGGGAGATGGTTGACTTAAAGTTTTCTCACTTTGACTTTTGATGAACATATCATTAGAATCCAATAGTGCAATACTTTGATTTAAATCCTTAATTTGGTTATAGTAATCCAAGGAGCTTGAGATTACCTAGACTTTTCTTAATTGTTGAAATGGCTAGAGAAGCTCATAACAATTTCCTTAGTCAAAGTCACTAATTCCAAATAGCATGTAATTAGTGAAAGTCAACTAGCATTAAGAACCAAAAAATCACCAAATCCAAGAGGAGTCAATTGCTTTCACCACCATGTTGGAGGAAATGTTTTTATGATTGTGTGAAGCAAAAACAACACAAAAATCACTTGTTGCTTGCTAATTTGAGGATCATTTACTTAATCAAGAAATTAGCCAACTAATCACCACAAACATATTTAAACTCATGAATAAAAACATACTAGTAGTGATAATATGATGAAACACAAAACATTTCCATAAAGATTCAAGAACAAGTTCATAGATTCTTCAACATCCAACAAAAGTTCAAAGGATTCAACAAAAAGTCAACCAAGATTTGTTTAGCCAAGCATGGCTAAACTCAAATGAACAAAGTTAGATAAGATTGTACCAAACATTTGAAAGATTCAAGAGGTGAAAAGAAGATGTTCTTCAAGTGTTCTTGGCCTCCAAAAGTGCTCCAAACTCCAGAGAGAAAAGCTCAAAATCGGACCTCCAAGATTATCCTAAAGAGGCACACCAACCTTCCCAATATAGAGCTCTAAGCAAAATCCCGAAATTGCCCTTGTCAGGAATCCACGCGGGGCGGGTAATCTTACGCGGGCCGCGGGTACTGACGGGAATTTTTGGGCTTCTTCAAGTCTTGGGCCCCCACAGCTAATCCATTGGCCCAGTTCGAGTCCAATCAGCTTCTAGCCCATTTTTCTTCAATGTTTCTTCAATTTGAGCCCAATTTGTCTTTCCACATCACTCAAAACTTCCGCAAACTCCCAAATATTGATCTTGCATACTCAAGAATTCTCCCGCATCTTTCAAATTTAAAGCTCAATTCTTCCAAGCCTTCAAGCAATTGACAAGTCCACCCCATGAATCACCTTCATAGCCATCAAGCATGAAATCTCCAATTCCCTTCAAGCCCAATCGCCTCCCAAGAGTGCCCCGCTAGTTTCCAAGAAAAATCTGCAATAATGCTCAAGAAACTAGAAAGTACCCCGAAATGGTCATAAAAATAACAAAAGGGAAAATATGCATGGAAGTTAACTAAAATGCGAATGAAATGTACTAAAATAAACTATAAAAAGAAGTAAATAAAATGAAGCTATCAAATCACCCCAAGCTTAAACCTTACTTGTCCTCAAGTAAGACAAGACTAAATGAACTTGGGATGAACTACCCTAGAAATAAAAAGAATGGATAGAACCATGGAACCTGTTCGACGTTAGTCAACATGGTCAGAATTGATTTCGCTGCTATCTCACAACTTTTTCATCCGATGACAATGGAACCATAAACCACAGCCAGGACAACTCCTTTAGGTGAGTAAGGAGGGATGAGCAGTCGCAGCCTCAATGGAACATGTATACAATGAAGAACATCTGTAGTAGGGAGAAAGCAACTGGATGGGCTCGGGTGGAGCTCTTCTTTAAGTGCACACTCTGATCTCACATTTGCCGGTTTCTCTCATGTGTAACTAGGTTTAATCGCTCGGGCACCGTTGTAGGAATCAGTTCACTTAGTGTTGACCCAAACCTCCCGTAGTATCCGACTCGACAGTCTCTCTAACATCACCAATTTGTGAGAAAGAAAGAAAAAAAAATAACAACTCGATCTATATACAATAAAACAGACCTATACAAATGAATATCAAACGCCGGGTGACCAAGATGTTAGGAAATTTGTTCAATAATTGAACCGGCCACCTATCTAAGATAGTTGCAACTGAAAATTTGTGTGCTTCTTTTTGTTTTTGTTTTGTTTTTTTTTTGTTTTTGTTTTTTTTGTTTTTTTTTTTTGATGATAAAACCCTTTGACTCAAAATTTGGTTCCCAAAGGTGTGTAGGTGGAACCGAAAGGGTAATGATATAATCCGAATGGCCTAAGTGTGAAAATGACCATGTGTGGAGCATAAAGATGTAATGTAAGCTCCTTTTCAACTTGCAGTTTTTCAAAGATAATGAAAATGTCCAAATGTGGACTAATAGACTCTCTAAAATTCTAAGAAAATCGCAAAAAGATATGGTGATGTAAAGAGACTGGATATGGATTCTACTCGGGGACAAGCACCAATGCTTCATCCTAATAGTTCAAACATGATCAAGTGTGATCCTCTCCGCGGTAGTGATTCGCAAGGCTAAGAACACCCATTGCTATAGTATATCCTACAGTTGTTAGTATTGTATGCATAATTCTTCATGAAACTACCTGGCCATGATCACTTACCCCTTTAAGCTACCAGCATCTGATCCCAAGTATGAAATCCCAAACTGCAGCTAGTGGTCCCGATTCGATGGGTGAGATAGCAACAAGATCCTGGACCAATAATGATACAATAACTGTGAACCTGTTCCATGGCATCCAAGAGAGGTGAGAATAAACAGACAACAAAAATGCATGAATGCTAATGCCTTAGGCTAAATGTTATGCAAAAATATTAAAGGTGAAAAAGAAGAAAATAAAATCTTTTTGAAATTTTAAATTAAAAAAATGAATGAAAATTAGCTTAATACTAAAATGTCATGCAACCTAGCTAAAAATGTATGAAAAAGTAAAAGATAAGGGAAATGCCCCACCCCAAGCTTAAGAACAAGCATTGTCCTCAATGCTTAAGGAAAGGGCGGAAAGGACCTAAATCGGTGGGTCGGGCGGCGGGAAATGCCCGTGACGATAATGGTAGTCCCACATATCTTGGACCTGGCGGGAAGTGGGAGGGAAGGAGTGCTCCAATCGTTCAACGCGACTCGCCACATCTTGGATGGCTCTCGTGTTCTCTTGCGTTTGGGTGTCGATACGCTGCACCGTGGAGAACATTGTGGCAAATTGGTCAAAGAAAGTAGGGGGAAATATGGTGGAACTTCGTATCCCCCCTGCTGCTGCGGCTGAAACTGAGGCTCGACGAACTGCTGTGCAGGCTGAAATTGGGCTCGGCGAATTGTTGTGCAGGTGAAATTGGTCATCCTCATCATCTACAGGTGGAGGGTAGTCTGATGGAATGATCCATTGATCGGGATCGGTCGGTTCAAAACTCCGATATACTCATGAGGGAGAATGAGGTATGGTTGGTTGTCAAGGATCCACATGGGCCCGACAACCGAATCCCGGATGAGTTGCATTCGGCGAAGTGCGTTGCCGTCAAGACTAGAGGGGCCGGAAGCCTTCTCGAATGGAAGAGTAGAGAGATGAAGTTGAAGCGGTGGCCGGGATGCAATAAGGGTGATTAATCCCCCAATGAAAATGTCTCCTTTGTCCATAGTTGTGAGGTTGTAACACTTGGTGAAGAAAAAGGAAGCAAAATCCGGCCGCGGACCGTTCTCACGAGTCATGCACCAAAGAAAAAATAATTCCGCCTTTGAAATCTGTCCCACTTCGGAGCGGGCGAAAATGGTGCATGTGAGAACTCTATGCGCTAGGCGCAAACATGGGTGAATTATGGAGGAGGCCTTTGACGAAGACGATGAATATTGTGGCTCATTGGTAATTTGTTGCCAAAAGTAATGTTCATTGAAGTTTCCGGGCCATGGGTCTTGTTGGTAATATAGGTTGTCCACGGGAGCACCCATCAAAGCATTCACGACCCGATGTGGTAGAGATCGTTTCTCGCGAGGATTTGGAAGGTGACGGTTTGGGCTTCCTCCTCGGGATTGAATGTGGTAAGAAATTCCAAGGTGGGTTCAACATAGGTGGCGGCGCGGTTATGGAGGAATTGACCCCACCCGATGTTGTTAAATAACGCTTGGACTCCATCGAGCACCCCAAGACTAGCAAAAGATTCCCTATGGAGGAATTTTGTTGACTTGACTTGACGCTTATTAGAAACGAGAAAATCATAAGTTTTACGATCCTCACGATTCAACAAACGAAACGGGGGATCCTTGGATTTTCCCTTCGATCCTCCTTTAGAGGAAGTTGCTCCCGTCCCCGTTTTTGCGTGCTTGAACATTTATTTCGGGACAAAATTTTACCGATAATAACTTTCAACCACAACAAATGCACACAATACCAACAACAAATGGGAAATTGAGGTATGAACAATCAAGTTAAAAGAATGAGATTACCCAATTTCTTAGACCGGGATGAACTAGTGCCACCAAAATGATTTCGTCAAGACACACCCCAAGCTTGCAATTTTGCTCCGTATTTGATGCTTTAATCGCTAAAACAACCCCACAAACTAGCTTCAAGATGACTTTCCGGCGAATGGAGTAGCGCACTCGGAATTTGACGGAAATTTTTCGTGAGTTTTTGCGGAAAGATTTGTATGACTAGAAAGCTCTTGATGAGAGAAACAAAACCCCGTGCTCGGATTCTCCAATGGTGGCGGAGTTGGCCGGAAAACGCGAAAATATGTGGTGGTGGGTGGTGGTGGCGCCCGGAGTTCCGGCCACAGATCGGACCGGAATTTGGGTGGGGTTTGTAGAGGAAGAAAAATGGAGAAGAATGGCGGTGGTTTCGTGAGATTCCGACCGGTAGAACTCCGGGAAAATGGATTTTTGTGAGAAGTGGGTTTAGTGTTCTTGAGCTTCTAGAGAGAAAATGGGGGAATTGGTTAGGTTAGAATGAAGAAGAAGAGTGTTGGAGGTGTTTAATCTTTGTTCAAAGAGGGTCAAACCCGGTCAATGTTTGGTCAACTCATTAAATCTCTTGGTCAAAGAAAGTCAAGGCAGTCAACAGCTCAAAATCCCAATTAAACGACCAACACGCGGGCTGGGCGCGGGCCGCGTGCTGGCCGCGTCTACCCTGCTCGAATTTTTTCTGACCTTACGTGCGGGTGGAGCTCGGGCTGCGGGTTGGCCGCGTCTAGCATGCTCGAATTTTTTCTGACCTTACGCGCGGGTGGAGCTCGGCTGCGGGTTGGCCGCGGGTACTGGTTACTCAAAAAAATCTCCTAGTCTTTTGAAAACCCACGCGGGTGAGGCGCGGGCCGCGTGCTGGCCGCATGTACTGGACTGAATTTAAGCTTAACCCCACGCGGGCTGGCTCGGGCCGCGGGTACTTCTGCACATCAAAAATGAGAGTTTTCCAAAACACTTGATTTTTTAAGCCAAAACGATCCCCTTAAGGCCCGGTAAAAAAAAAATTTTGACAAAATTTGGAGTAAACGGGGAACGTTTGGTGAAATCTTTCAAAATTTTATTTGAATTAAAAAAAAATGGTGAAAGCACATTGCTTTCCAAAAATGCCCTTCTTTATCGTCTTTGGCGAGACGTCCTTCTAGCTTTCTTCAACACATCGGGGCATCCAAATGGATGACTTCAAGGGCATTAGCATTGAAACCTTCATAGAATGGCTTCAACCGGTGCCCATTGACTTTGAAGGTTTGTCCCGTCTTTTCGCTTTGAATTTCCACCGCCCCATGGTTAAAGGTCTTAATCACAACGAAAGGTCCAATCCATCTTGACCTTAGCTTGCCTGGAAATAACTTCAATCGTGAATGGTATAGTAAGACCCTATGCCCCCCTCAAAATGCTTCCGGGAGATGGACTTGTCTGGAAGAGCTTTGTTTTCTCCTTGTAAATCCTTGCGTTTTCATAGGAGTCATTTCTCAATTCTTCTAGCTCTTGAAGTTGAAGTTTCCTATGCCTTCCCACCTCATCAATGTTGAAATTGCATTGTTTGACCTCCCAAAATGCACGGTGCTTTACCTCGACGGGAAGGTGACATGGTTTTCCAAAGACCAATCTAAACGGGGACATTCCTATCGGGGTCTTGTACGCAGTCCGATAAGCCCATAAAGCATCTTCAAGTCTCAAACTCCAATCCTTCCTTGTTGGATTCACTGTTTTCTCTAGAATGGACTTCACTTCACGATTTGAAACCTCCAATTGACCATTCGTTTGAGGGTGATAGGCTATGGAAACACGATGGGTCACGTGGTACTTCTTCAATAGAGCCTCCATCATTTTGTTGCAAAAGTGTGTCCCTCTATCACTAATCAAAGCCCTAGGCACACCAAACCTTGCAAAAACATTAGACTTTAAAAACTCGATAACTGTTTTGGCATCGTCCGATCTTGTGGCTTTTGCTTCAACCCATTTAGAAACATAGTCAACCGCGAGTAAAATGTAAACGTTGCCAAATGAGACGGGAAATGGGCCCATGAAATCGATCCCCCATACGTCAAAAATTTCACAAACAAGGATTGGATTTTGGGGCATTTGGTTTTTATGCGAAATGTTTCCCGTCCTTTGGATCGCTCACAACTTTTGCAAAACATATAACAATCGCGTGACATGGTTGGCCAAAATAATCCACACTCAAGGACTTTTCTCAAAGTCCGGTTAGGTCCAAAGTGTCCCCCACAAGCGAATTCATGGCAGAATTGCAAAATGGATTGGTGCTCTTGTTGGGGTACACATCGCCTAATGATTTGATCGGGACAATGTTTCCACAAATAAGGCTCATCCCACACATAATATTTTGCATCATTTTTCAACTTGTCTTTTTGAGCACGTGTGAATGTGTCGGGATACCTTTTTGTGACCAAAAAGTTAACGATATCGGCATACCAAGGAATAGATTGAGTAAGGGAAAAGAGATGCTCATCCGGAAACTCGTCCCGCAACGGGAGAGGAGTTTCGTTTGAAGTGATCCGGCTTAGGTGATCGGCCACAAGGTTCTCGCACCCGCTCTTCCCGGATTTCCAAGTCAAATTCTTGTAACAGTAGGATCCATCGGATGAGTCTCGGCTTTGCATCTTTCTTTGTCATCAAGTACTTGAGAGCCGCATGATCCGAATACACTATGACTTTGGTGCCAAGTAGATATTGTCGAAACTTCTCCAGAGCAAACACTATGGCCAATAGCTCCTTCTCTGTGGTAGAGTAGTTGCTTTGAGCATTGTCTAGTGTTCTTGATGCATAATAGATCACATGGGATGCCCTCCCGTTCTTTTGACCCAAGACGGCGCCTATCGCGTAATTGCTTGCATCACACATGATCTCAAAAGGAAGATCCCAATTTGGTGCTTGCATGATGGGAGCGGATGTAAGCAACTCTTTAAGCTTGTCAAAAGCTTCTTTGCACGCCTCGTTGAACTCAAAATCAACCTCCTTTTGCAAGAGCTGGCACATTGGTCTTGTTATCTTTGAAAAATCCTTGATGAACCTTCGGTAGAAACCTGCATGGCCCAAAAAAGAACGAACTTCCCGAACACAAGTCGGGTAAGGTAAGCTTTGAATAACATCAATTTTGGCCTTATCTACCTCAATCCTTTTTTAGACACAATGTGACCCAAAATGAGACCTTGACTCACCATGAAATGACATTTCTCAAAATTCAAAACCAAGTTTGTTTCAATGCATCTTTTTAAAATTTTTGTGAGATTGGTCAAACATTCTTGAAAAGAGTTGCCATATACCGTGAAATCATCCATAAAAACCTCAATTATGTTTTCAACATATTCCGAAAAGATGCTAACCATACAACGTTGGAAAGTGGCCGGGGCATTACACAATCCGAATGGCATTCTACGGTATGCGAAAGTGCCAAATGGACATGTAAAAGTTGTCTTTTCTTGGTCCTCCGGTGCCACCGGAATTTGGTGAAAACCAGAGTACCCGTCTAGACAACAATAATGGGATTTCCCAGCCAACCTTTCTAACATTTGGTCAATGAAAGGCAATGGGAAATGATCTTTTCGTGTGCTTGCATTGAGTTTGCGGTAGTCAATACATACTCTCCACCCGTTTTGCACACGGGTGGGGACCATTATACCTTTGTTGTTTTCGACCACCGTGATCCCCGTCTTCTTTGGAACGACTTGCACCGGGCTCACCCATTTGCTATCCGAGATTGGATAGATCATCCCCGCATCTAGGAGCTTCAAAATCTCTTTCTTGACCACTTCCATCATCGGCGGATTCAACCTTCTTTGTGCATCCCGTTTCGGCTTGCATTCATCCTCCATTAAGATTTGTGCATACAAGTGGAGGGGCTCAATCCCTTGATATCCGCAATCGTCCATCCCATGGCTTCTTTATGCTCCTTCAACACCTTGACGAGTTGTTCTTCTTCAAATTCGGTTAAGTGAGTTGAAATGATAACTGGAAGGGTTTCATTCTTCCCCAAATAGGCATACTTCAAGTGTTGAGGTAAGACCTTCAATTCCAATTCAGGTGGTTGAATAAGGGATGGGGAAATTTTGTATGAGTTGGGGCAATTCAACTTGCTTGACATCTAATCTTGTGGATTTCTTCATCTCCATTTTATTTACTAGCTTCTCAACTTCCGGATCAAATAATAAAGCTTTAATTAGCTCGCTAGCTTTCCACAATCGAACCCTTTGCTTAAGATCATCTCCAATATATCACCGTTGGATAACTCGAACAATTCTTGAGTAATTGGCTCGACAACATCAACAAATACAAAGATGAAACATCACTAGGATATCTCATGGCATCATAAATATTAAAACTTATTGTTTCACCATCAAACTCCATTGTCAAACTTCCGCATACACATCGATCTTTGTCCTAGCCGTCTTCAAGAACGGTCTCCCAAGCAATTAGAGCCGATTTGGATGATACTTGCTCATCTAGATCAATCACATAGAAATCCGCCGGGAAGACCAATTGGTTCACTTGCACTAGGACATCTTCCAAAACACCTCTAGGAAAGACACTTGATTTATCCGCAAGAGAGATAATGACACCGGTTTCACTTAAGGGTCCAACATTCAATGATTCATACACTGAGTAGGGCATAACGTTGATAGAGGCACCAAGATCAAGCATAGCACTACTAAAAGTGACATCCCCAATCTTTCAAGGAACCGTGAACATTCCGGGATCTTTGCATTTGGGTGGAAGTTTCCTTTGTAAAACCGCGGATGCGTTTTCATTCATCAAAATTTTCTCATTTCCCTTCAACTTCCTCTTGTTGGTGCAAAGTTCTTTCAAGAACTTTGCATATCTTGGAATCTGCTTGATCGCATCAAGTAGA